GATACCTAAAATAAAAAACACACTTACATAGGTTGGCAAGGGTATGGAAAGTTGGGGCTCCTCCACACCCCAGTAAATTGCCGGTGTGATTAGAAAAGCAGCTGCCCTGGAGATAGGCAGTTCTTCAAGATTGATTGACCCAGCAATTCTATGTAGAATTGAAAGTATATGTGCATTACAATAGCTATGTCTCAGGCCAGATGCCATGCGCTCACAGCTTGTAATCCTAGTAACTCCTGGAGACTCAGGTTCAAAGCCAGCCCAGGTAGGAGAGACTCTTTATCTCTGATTAACCACCAAAAAGCTGGAATTGAGGCCATGGCTCAAGTGGAAGAGTGTTAGCCTTTAGCATATTAAAAGCTCAAGGACAGCACCCAGGACCTGCATTCAAGCTCTTGAATACTCATAGCGGTATTATTGATAGCCAAAATGTACATCCAACTCAAGTGTCTGTCAGGGGATGAATGGAGCAACAAAATGTAGTGATCCGTACAACTGAATAGTATTTGGTAACCAAAGGGAAAGAAGTGCTGACACACGCATGCTACAACATGAACACCATTGTAAGTGAAAGAAACCAGACCCAAAGGACGTGTGTTCTTTTAAAGCCCATTTATTTAGAATGTCCAGAGCAGGCAACCCCCCATACACAGAAGGCAGGTTAGTGGTTAGCAGTAGTTTGGAAAAGGGTGGAAACTAACTGCTCTCATGTACTCACATGTGGTATATTTTATTTGTATTTTACTACAAAAATATTTTTTAAAAGTTAACCTTAATAGGTGAATATTTGTAGTTGATTTGGTTTTATTTTGCTTTCTTGGGTCTTGTTAGGTTGGTCTGAAGCTCTTGGGCTTTAGTGATTAATCCCTGCCCACAACCTCCTGAGTCGCTGGGACAGTAGGTATGTGTGCCACTGTCTCTGGCCTCTAGTTGGTTGTAATGGGTAGGGAACACTTAACTTTAAATTCCAGTTAATCATGTTATTTCCTCCCCAGAACAGCTGTTCATCAGAAGGGCTATAGTACACACATTTTTACTGAATTACATTTTGTCAATAAAAATTTAGAAATTTTTCTCATTTTTTCCTTGTGTGTGTGTGTATATAAAAGAATCTGTATTTTATTTTTGAACTTTCTCTTGGCTTAATATAGTTACTGTCTAGTCCTTAACAGAAAAGCTTGGCTGTTGCCTGCATTAGCCCATTTTCTGCCTGGTATTCATTTCCTGCTCATGCCAGCTTAGTCTGTGAGCCTGTGAGCATCCTGACCCTTCCTCTGGTAGGAAGCCTTTGTTTCCCTCTCAGGCCAAGAAAAGAACATCCTCGTCTGCACTTTACTTCGTGTTTCTAAGATGTGTGTGACAGCATCAGTCATGCTATGAACGGTTGCTTTGCCTTTCTTTCTTTTCCACTAGACTTCATCACTAGCAGGCAGGGAGTATATCATATTTGCTACAACCTTGCTACCACAAGAAAGACACTTCAATGGTTTCTTGGGAAAGGATGAAACTGGTTCCATGAATAAAAAAGATTGCCAAGCAGAAATGTAAAGCTGTTGATAGATGTTTCATAGATAGGTGAAGACCTCTTCTAGCTTCTATGTGAAATCGTAAATGTGACTTCCTTAAGGGAGTGTGGCCCAGATATAATTTAGAAAATAAAAATGTAATAATAACCTGGGGGCTGGGAAGGTGGCTCAGTGGCAGAGCGCTTTGCCTTGCATGCATGAGGCCCTGGGTTCGATTCCCCAGCACCACATAAGCAAAAAAAAGGGAAAAAAAATGGAAGTGGCTCTGTGTCTCAAGTGGTAGAGCGCTAGCTGTGAGCTGAAGAGCTGAGGGACAGCACCCAGGCCCCACGACTGGACCCCCCCCAAAAAAAAATGTAATATCCTGTCCCTACTCACTAAGACACTAACTCCCTGGGAACCTTTTAATAGCATTCTCAGATCTTTTCATGTACACTATGTTTAACCAAAAGTGAGATAATACTACTGTAAAACTGATTCTCTTAAAATATCAATTACTTTTCAGGTCAATAAGTAGTACTTATTAAGAATGACTTCCTTAGCCATGTCTCTCTGTTTGACATTGAAATTGTCTGCATCCCGGACAGCATTACTGTTGACATCAGGTCTCAGAAGTAAAATTAATGGATCAAAAGTACACCTATATATTTGAGATGTTGGATAGGTATTGTCAAGCTGTGTTTCAGAAGACCTATAGATCCCCCCTGAATTGGGAAAATTTCTGCTGTCTTTATAAGAGAAGTTGACTGGGACTGTTCACTATATGTTAACCTCTGCTGAGCTATAATATACTTTAGTAGCAAATGTTTGTAAGGAATAATACTTAAACAAGGAGAAACAGCCAGTCTCCAGCCAAGACAAAAATACGTTTTGTTTTCAGTAACTTGCATTTGTTCTTTTATATACTGTGAATAGCAGGACCCCCTCCCCTTCCCCTCTCAGGCCTGTGGCTTGAACTCTGGGCCTAGGTGCTGTCCCTGTGCTCCTTTTGCTCAAGGCTGGCAGTCTACCACTTAAGCCACAGTGCTGCTTCCAGCTTTTTCAATTAATTGGAGATAAGATTCTTAACAAGCACCAATGACTAGTGCATGTAATCCTAGCTAACTCAAGAGGCTGATGGGGCTGGGAAGGTGGTTCAGTGGTAGAGCGCTTGCCTTGCATGCCTAAGGCCCTGGGTTTGATTCCTCAGCACCACATAAGCAAAAAGAAAAAAAGCCAGAAGTGGCGCCGTGGCTCAAGTGGTAGAGCGCTAGTCTTGAGCTGAAGAGCTGAGGGACAGTGCCCAGGCCCAGAGTTCAGGCCCCACGACCGAACCCCCCCCCAAAAAAAAAAAAAGAGGCTGAGATCTGAGGATAGTGATTCAGAGCCAACCTGTACAGAAGTCTCTGTGAGACTTTTATCTCCAATTAACCACTCAAAAACCGAAAGTGGAGCTGTGGCTCAAAGGGTAGAGTGCTAGCCTTGAGCAAAAGAGCTCAGGGACAGTGCCAGGCCCTGAGTTCAAGCCCTACAACTGACC